GTTGTACCTGTTCTCCTCAGGTGTATTCTGGACTCTTCTCGTAGAGACCCGGCGAATGGTTGTCGTCGACTGAGCCTCAATAGTGCCCTGTCTTCACGATCTGACATCATCCTGGGTCGTAGCAAAAGATCCTTCACCTCATTGGTTTCCCTGTATTTTCTGACCAAACGACTGTGCAGTGGACATTCACTTCCCGACCAATGTCTTTAAATGACATACCGGAGTTATGCATACCATTATTTTGCCATCTCTGGTCATCTCATCATCGTCTTCGTACTATATTGGCAGAGGAAATAATTGAAGTTTGTAACCTATGCATATTAAATACCGACATGTTGCACGTGCACACTGCTCTTGTGGCAATTCTTGGGTTGCTTCTGGACATCCTCCACAGGATGTGTTTGAGAGACATTTTCGACCAATTCCACTTGCAAAAATATGTTTAATGAACATTATTATCAGATGTATCATCATGCACATAGTTCTGTTAGCGGTCAACGTATTTAGTTGTTTAAGGGTTATAATTATGTATCGTAGTGTAGCTTGTACGAGCCTGCTAATTTGAAACATGATCTCCGCTGAACAGTCTTCAAGGAGAGTCATTTCTAATGGTTGAGAAGTTCTGTGTTAAGCCAAGGATAAGGGAGAAAAGAATCGCATGCGAAAAAGCATGTGATGTGATGTGATGTTCATGATAAACTAAAGAATACGGTTTTTAACAAATGTTTGATATTTTACTTAATATGATCTCACAGAAACGACATTTTCATTTCCTTCCTTTTTTAGCCATCAAACCCATTATTCTGACTCCGATTTAATACCCTCGATAATTAACACGCCATAATAAGTCTTCTCACGACATCTGTGACCAGAAAAAGAGATGATTAATTACTTCATCTGAGGCTTTTGTGGTGATAAAATCACATTATGACATCACCGAAAGCCATAAATATGCAATGACATTTCAGTTGGATCATTTAATCAGAGGGATCGGATATGAAATTAATTAAAGTGAAGCTCTTAGTTTGCGATAAGGATTTTTTAATACGAAAACAATCTCAGTATGTTTTGGTGTGGAATATGTTTCAGCTGGCAACCATATGAAACGTCGATGTGAGTTCCTAAAACTACGTAATTAGGAAAGTTTTGACATTACAGAGAGAGAGAGAGAGAGAGAGAGAGAGAGAGAGAGAGAGAGAGAGAGAGAGAGAGAGAGAGAGAGAGAGAGAGAGAGAGAGAGAGAGAGAGAGAGAGAGAGAGAGAGAGAGAACCTATGTAAAAGGATAATAACGTAAAAGGATAACAACGCAAATCGAATTAATATTACACATATGCATTTTAGGATATTTTCAACCATTCTATCACAGATGTTTAATTAGATGCATGGACTCGTCAAAAATGAAAATGTTGAAAAGCATGCACAATATATTGAATGGACTGTGTAAAATGTGACGAATCGTCGCACGACGGCTGCTTCTGCAAGATGCACTATGCAGGCCCCATGGATCCCATAGATGTATAGGAGATGGAATCAGAGTCAGACGGGCTGTTTTCCCGGTAGAATACCCGAGTTTATAGGACACTTTGTTGAGGATGTTTTCCTGAATCTTGTTAATCACATTTGTATCAAATGAAGATTTAAATGATTCCATTAAAAAAGGCAAGATCATGTTTGCTGGCTTGTGTACGTTTCAGGCTTTCTATGGGCTCGTATGATATATTTATCACTTTCCAAGACGTACTCTACATATTTCAGGATGTACCATGGATAGACATCGGAGTCATAGCATGGCGTAGACGGTGATAAACAGGTCGATCCATGGAATATTGTCGCCTTGAATACTGTTATATATGTTATCTTCTTCTCCGTCTTCCTCCTCCTCTCCCTCCTCCTCCCCTTTTATAGGAAAAATCTTGACCTTTAAAACCACGTAATAATAAAAATACGTTATAAATCAATTAATATAGTTTAAAAGTAAAATATCAAAATTAAGTCTTATTTATATATCAAAGCAAAACGTTAGGTCATTCTTGAAAGATATATACCTCAACACATGTTTTATTTAGATACTGATACCTGCCAAATCACACTGAGATTTGCTAACGGCTGTGAGCTTGTAATATATAATTCGGTATTGAACAATGGCCAGTTGACACATGATGAATTTACAGTTTGTTTGGAAGTGGCTGACAATCCATTGTCATAAATTGTAATAGTTTGTTCTTCTTTTGCTGTGTACAGTTTGTGTACATGTAACATAGGAAAGTTCTCCGTCATAATCTGATATAAGGCTACCACCTTGTTCTATGCCCTTTGTGTACACTCAACCATATAATTTGTGTATTGAAATGTCTGTCACTTGGGTTGTCTGACAAATGGGAGATACCTTCTATGATGTATAGTTGCATTTTTCCTTTATAATGTCCGTCGGAACATGGTAATCCACGGGTAACAGGATAGGAAATTCATGGAATTCAAACATTCCAACAATTCAGGTTTGGTAGATGCGTTTACTGTATTTTCTGGTTCATCGATCATTTGATTGTCTATTTTGTTCACAGGCCGCCGTCGCATGGCAGGAGTACTGTTCGGCGTCGGACTGTAATCCTTTTTTTCCTTGCATGTGAATGGCGGGTGTTGCCAGTAGGGCAGGGAAAGCCTACCATTTCATCACAGCTTGGCAATGGTCCACTCCCATAATTTTTACCTGTATCTTGCCCTTTCGTGGGAAACTGTTTCTTGTGAAAGGCCAGACTGGGCATTCTTATATCTTATATTCTATATTTTACACATAACCATTATGTTGTTAGTTTTTCAGTTCAATCTTTAAAGAAATCCCTAAATACATAAAATGTGTTGGGAAAGTTGTTACATTATTGAAAATGAGTCTTTTACGAAATCCCTTAATACATAAAATTTGTTGGGAAAGTTGTCACAATAATGAAAGTGAGACCCTGAATAGTCTACTATTCTCAACCTACGGGGTTCAAGCGATGTTACTGAACTCAGAATGGGAGGTATCCGCATGTACTCTGAATGCACTGCTACCCTCAATAACTGTGGATTACCGTCTTTTCCTAATTCAGTATGTGAAGGGTGTACTCGCCAGTATTGTTCCTACGGTTTCCAAGATGCCTGTGTGTATTAATCTTTATGGAGAAATGGATTTATTGTACATTAATATTTGTTTTGAACATTTATAAATACATGGTACTGTGCTGCTGTCGTGTTGAAGACTCGTATCAAAGTTTTCTTGTTTTACCTTAGGCCATTGCGTAGCCAATCACAGACCTGGAATTCGATCTCACACATGTTTGATACCAAATAACTGAAATGGGTTTCTCACCCACAGGTGTGAAAGAAGCAACTATCTTAAATAGACTCATCTCCACGCCTCGACTTCAATTTGTAAAATAATCAAATGATCAAGAAAAAACAAGTCGATGGAATTCTTTCATCCTGACAAATTTCAAATGTGAACCGAATTACCGAGAACCTGCTTCCATACTGCAAACAGATTAATCTAGCCAGTCAGTCAAAAGAATCGAATTCAAGCATATGCAAAACAGACTTCGCACCGAATCGCGATTCACCAAACTGTAATATTTTTCTTCCTCAAAATGACACATATACACACAGTTGATTAATCGTTTCCTTTGAAATTCGTTATTAAAACGTTCATTGACTTCATGTCAAGTTCTTCGCATCCTCTTCCAAGACACAGAACCCATCTCGAAGTTTTCATTTTGCTTCAATCTTGCTGACGAGCCATGTGTGAAAACGGACTCCTGGCTTTATTCAATAACCTAAAAAAGAAGACTGCTGTGATTGGAATCTCACGCTCTGAAGGCTTGCTTCTAATTCTGTTCACCATCTCCAACACTGAAAATACGTTTCTTTAATTAAGTTGGTGTGTTGGTATCTGCTAAGTGACCATCTATGCGCTAATACATGCTAAAGTTCTGCAGAGACTTTTTCAAACTATCTCACAACGGTGTGGGATTCTACTGGCGTAGTTCCATCGACATGTTGAAACTTCACAATACAGAATTAACGCATAGCTTGACGCCTGTTAGCCATGGCATGTTCGCGTGACATTATGAAGAGTGAGTGAGTAGCATTTTTTTGCACCTATCTGCCAAGCATGTTTGTTACTTTAGAATGCGGATTGTGAGAGTAAAACCAGTAATGATCTAGATTAGAACGCCTTCACTAATTATTTTGTACAAATAATCTTCGCTGAAACACAAATGACCATATAATTTCTGAGATTCGAACCTACGATTAACGTGAAGAAACGTCATCCATACGCCTTGTTGAAACAGGAACAGAGAAATATGTTACTGTATTATTATCGAAAAATACTAATCGAAGTCTGTGACATGCCATGTTCCAAAGATCAAGATATTGTCTATACTGAAATAAGCCTGCGCAGTAATGGTGGTTCAAATGTATCCCACAAAGCGTACCAGTGACTTGATTCATTTCTCCCAGTTAGAAATACACTACTTAGAAACAGGACGTCTGAACATACATGTACGTAGTTTCATGTATTTTGATTAGTACAAGATATTGATATCGATTTTGCCTGTATGTCATACATTCATTGAAGAAATATATGTGAACTCAGACATACTTCATTTGAAGTAAATGGATGTTTTATATATTGTATAAAGAATTCTTTCAGTTGGTCGATATGTTATATCAAAAACAATGACAACAAAAACGATGTTGATGGTATTTACGGAAATTCGCTAACCGACCATTAGCTGTGGTTCGTGGGTTGGGAAATACGTGCGGTCTGTAAAATCTGACGTAGAGTCAATATTTTCAGAATGTATTATTACATTAATACTAAGAATATGTATCATATGGGACTAGACTTACGCACTGTCTCCCCTTGCATGACGCTGTAATATGGACCGAATGATGATACAAGTTGAATCATCCTCTGTCTGTTCGCCAACATCGATCGCTTCTCACAGCCTCGATCTGAACTCACCAGTCAATACGACCTTGTTATTAGGCCATGGTCACTGAAAGCAGACGACTTCCTGTTCCTACCAAACGATATCCGGTGAGTAACCCACCTCAATGCACCCCTTTGTTTGAGGCAGCTTCTGGCCGACAAAAGCGGGATTGTTTTAAAATCTTCCACACAAATGTCGACTGGAAGCAACTGACACACATGGACTCACGATTCATATCAATCGATATCAGTGTTGTAACAGCACACTCGTTTTTGCTACTACCACTACAGCAGACACGTTATGTTTTATGCATGTGCTCCCACGTTATCACCTAGTCGTATTGTTCTGGTTTGGCTCAATTCGTCAACTGTATGTGCTAGGTTATGTCAATAATACCCGTTTCCTGTTTCGCTACGAAAATAGTATCAGAGTTCAGGACAGTTCGCCTGTCAGTTTTGGGACAGCGTTCTAGTGAATTAAGACCAGACATTGTGTGCAAATCCACATGAATTAATCCAATAACATAGCCCCGACCAGTCCAAAGAACTAATCTAGGAATCTCACGGGTAGTGCTGCCTCTTAGCGTTTGGTTCAACGAGTAGAGATTCCATTCAATCGCCATCTATTCAACGTCTTGGATCAATAATCGCTTGTGATGTGTGTATTCTGATAATATATTCAGCGTATTTAGAGCATCGTCATGGGTTTCTTAGATCATACGGAACTATCACGTGGTATAAAGACCGTGTTTTCTGAGCAAAGAGTTGTGAGCTGACTGCAATGATTTAACGAAACGCTACATACCATGAATATAAACGTGTCTACATGTATGTCTTAGGCTCGGATGATATACTGTATATATCAACAGAGCGAGATATCATCGAATGACATAATCTCATTGCATGAGGATGTGTCAACGGCCATTGACATCCTTTAGCGCACTTTAGCCATGACTGTCATGGTTTATGATTTTGAAGGTACTTGTATTCCCTGTACTGAACAGACACTCGGTATTTAACAATATTTACGTAAGGACGATAACCGTGTCACACTGTTATTCATGGGGCAACTACCTGTAATGGTTTTGAGTGAAACTGTTCATATCATCACACGTTGCTTCAAACCTTAGTATAAGAGGTACACTAAATTCAGATTACAAACTACATAATGTGAATAAATTAATAATTATACATATACACACACTACCACTAGCGAACACACACACACACACACACACACACATACAACACAAAGAGTGCACGTACATACATACAGGCACGCACACGCACGCACGCACACTTACACACATGCATGCATACACACATACATACATAGATACATACACACACGCATACATACATACAGACATACATACATATGTATGTTACATACATACGTATGTATGTAACATACATGCATGCATGTACACATGCACGCACGCACGCACATACATGCATGCATACATACATATGTATGTTACATACATACATATTCTTTTAGGAACGCAATGTCTATAATTGGATGACGACTATGCTTCATCTACAACCAAACCGTACATTCAGTAGACATTTCGGTGAATATAAAGTGACAAATTAATAATTCATCATTCTCGGTCACAATGCAAGATGTTTCAGATGCATGTTCGTATGCACTCACAGTTGTTCGGTATCCGCTAGCATATGTTCTTTGCTTTCTAGTGACATGTTAGGACCATGTATCCCTAACGCTTCTGACTGCTTGGTGCAGAGTTGTCTCCCTTAGACGTAACAAAAACCTATGAACGTGGTTCGAAAAAAGGTTACATTGAATTCCGTTTCTTATCAAGTTTGCTTCTGCACCAAGATCGTGGATTTCATCAAATTAGTAAACATAAGATATATGCCATTCTTGGAGCTTTTCTCTCACATTCATTCGACTAACTGTCGAAAAGTAAAATCCCTGTTTCATGCGGCGTTACGCACTATTCTCTCATATAAGTCTTGTCGGATATCTCCGCGTGCGGTGAATAAATTTAGTTTATAATAGTAAGAACACTTTGAAAGACGTGGTTTGTGCCAACTAGAAATATCACTTTATTTTGGCATACTGTTTAGTATAAAACATGGACGCCTTAACCTGAAGCAGTTTTCGACCATCATTAAGTTAAGTAAGTTGAAATCCTTCGAGACGGGAAGATGTATATGTTTCCGACGGGTCGGCCCTCTCCTAATGGCTCTTCAGCCCAAATTCCTATTCATTCAACTTTATTGAAGAAAAATAATGGAAATTGCCGAAGACGATCAGTTTTCCAGACGATGGCTTTTTAAGTAAAATCCTTTTTTTTCAAATAGGGAGCGTCTCTAAACAAAATTGATTTTATGGCTTAAATTTGCAACCACATGAAAACATCCCAAGGCTGTTCTTTGGAGGTTTCACAACCCTTTCAATCCTATTTGTGTCCAGAATCGATCGTATATTAACAACAGTACCAGTCTGGACAAAGTCTTTCACTTTGATGTGTGCAGCGTGTTTTTATTCACCACCACCTCAACCCCCTAGTTGTACTGCCAGGGGCCTCACTATGTGCCAGGCTTCCACAAGGCGATTGCCTGGAATAGCACAAGCCTCCTGCTTTGTAAATTACAGCCGAGGGACACGTGTAGCCTCACAGGTCCCGTTGTTTTTGCATGAGGAGGGTATTTCTTTATAAAGACACTTTGATGTGTCGGCTAAAAGGAATATAGTGTCCAAGTACTAATTACCGCCTCATCTTTAAGAACTATTCCAGCAAATAGTAGCTCATATTTTCGGGTTGACCATCAGAAAGGTATCAAACATTTGCAACACAATTATGCGGAATGATATGACGTTGGACTCCTTAACTGACACATTTCATGTCTTTTTGTCCTGGGGCAGAGGGTACAGATAAACAACCAGCACGTTTTAATGAGTAAAAAGCTAGTTGTCATGTAACTGGCCGATTTCAAGATAGTAGTTTAAAGTTGTTTCAATCCAGTAATTTCACGATATTTACTGGTAATATCAGTATTATGTCATATGAGGTGTGGTTGTTATTATACATATATATAAACATAAATATAAACAGAATGCCCTTTTCTCCATCATGTTTCGTTCTTCACTCTTCGGGGATATTGTAGCAGTTACAGTTATATGTATGTATGTATGTATGTATGTATGTATGTATGTATGTATGTATGTATGTATGTATGTATGTATGTATGTATGTATGTATGTATGTATGTATGTATGTATGTATGTATGTATATTGTATGTATGTATGTATGTATGTATGTATGTATGTATGTATGTATGTATGTATGTATGTATGTATGTATGTATGTATGTATGTAATAGCAATCACAATTATCAATTGCATACGGCATTTTGGGGGAAACATACCGTAAAAATCAAAATTAAAACCGTCCACTGCATGTCTACCCATAAAACATCTTCAAAGCTCTTCTGAGGCCTTGAACGTTGTAAATCTGACCAAGGGACCTTTGAGCATGAGCATGGGGCCTGCTTTGAAATCTTTGGGGAAAGAGCATGTTCAGTTGTCCCTCAAAAGTTGTTAAATGTAACCACCGGAGACTGGAGCTGCTGGAATATTGCTCAGTACAAAAGGAGAAGTTGACTGTAAGATACTTGACGTCATCAATGTCGCTTGAATTGTATTTATAGTTTGTCAGAACTATATCCGAGCTAGATGGTTTCATTTACGTGATGAATGTGTATGATCTGTAACAATTCCTCCCACGTCGACTAACCGTGATATTACTCTCTGACTCTTTGCGTTTTGATAAGTAATCATCAGCCAGTATAAAGCTGGACATTTACTTGCCCATACATATGTCGAGAACACTGCACTATTATGAAATTACATAAAAGATATATTTTAGTGTGAAGTAACAATGTAATTCATGGCACTGTGAAAACTCGCTTACACACGTGCACATACACACGTACCCCATATGTATGAATAGCATAAATACCATCCAATACACACACACACACAGAGAGACACACATACACACACACACACACACACATACACAGACAGATATCCAGACACGCATATAGACAGACAGGAACATACAAACAAACAAATACATACACGGGTATGCATACATGTATAGACACACATACACAGACACACACTTACACAAACAAATACATAAACACAAATACAGATAGCTCAGACACAAATAGACACAGGCATACACAGACCATAGACACACTCAGACACTGACACACACGCGCGAACACAAACACGGACGCACACATTACAGGTACAAAGACACATACATATACATACATACATACATACATACATACATACATACGTACGTACATAACTACGTACGCACATACATACATACATACATACATACATACATACATACATACATACATACAATGCACGCATGCATGCATGCATTATACAGCATGGACATCACTCATGATATGTGATCGCTCACAGATATATGCATGCATACATACAAACACACAGATATAAATAGATGCACACAGTCGTCTATTGAAAGACGTTTACACTACAACACAAAACATAAACTTGGCTCTAAAGGTCAAATGTGGGTGTGCAAGAGGATTCCGAAAATGGAAACTAGATACTTGTTCTGCGTTTGACAAAGAAAAACAAAAGGTTAAAAAGAGAATGTTTTCCCAAGTTCATAAAATAGTACTTGTTAAACACAACTTTTTTTCTGTTTGGAACTTAAGTACGACAACGACTTACCAATGATGGGAAACACTTCGTTGAAGCTTAGAGGATATGTGTAGTGAGTTGCAATCGATAGCCTTAAAGTTATCTTGCCCCGTTACGTAATATACCTCTGATTCAGCAACTGACTGTTGGCATCCCAAAAAGTGTCTTCATTAGCCTGTGCACGAATAGGGTTTGGACGTTGATTGGAGGAACCGAGATTTGCTGAACTATCAAACGTGTTCTTAATCATCCAATCAAGACATGCTGGAATCCAAATTGTGTTTTTTATTGTGCAATCAAACTCCCAACAAGCTGCTTAAGAGTCAGGTGTCTAACAACACAGTCACCATGCAGAGGATATTGAAGCCTAGACTGGCCTGG